TGGCACTGAGGCCTTCGGTGGAGCTCACTATGGGGCCACGAAGCGTGTGAGGGGTGTGCCGAAGTGTGTGTGGGTGACGCATGCGGCCGCGGGCACTGGGGCCTTCGGTGGAGCTCCCTGTGGGGCCACGAAACGTGTGAGGGTGTGCCGACATGGGTGGGGGTGACGCATGCGGGCGGCGGCACTGGGGCCTTCGGTGGAGCTCCCTATGAAGCCACGAAGCCTGTGAGGGGTGTGCCGAAGTGGGTGGGGGTGACGCATGCGGGCGGCGGCACTGAGGCCTTCGGTGGAACTCCCTATGGGGCCACGAAGCGTGTGAGGGGCTGGCCGAAGTGGATGGGGGTGACGCATGCGGCCGCGGGCACTGGGGCCTTCGGTGGAGCTCCCTATGGGGCCACGAAACGTGTGAGGGGTGTGCCGAATTGGGTGTGCGTGACGCATGCGGCCGCGGCCACTGGGGCCTTCGGTGGAGCTCCCTGTGGGGCCACGAAACGTGTGAGGGGTGTGCCGAAATGGGTGTGGGGACGCATGCGGGCGGGCACTGGGGCCTTCGGTGGAGCTCCCTATGGGGCCACGAAACGTGTGAGGGGTGTGCCGAATTGGGTGTGCGTGACGCATGCGGGCGGCAGCACTGGGGCCTTCGGTGGAGCTCCCTATGGGGCCACGAAACGTGTGAGGGGTGTGCCGAATTGGGTGTGCGTGACGCATGCGGCCGCGGGCACTGGGGCCTTCGGTGGAGCTCCCTATGGGGCCACGAAACGTGTGAGGGGTGTGCCGAATTGGGTGTGCGTGACGCATGCGGCCGCGGGCACTTGGGCCTTCGGTGGAGCTCCCTATGAGACCACGAAACGTGTGAGGGGTGTGCCGAATTGGGTGTGCGTGACGCATGCGGCCGCGGGCACTGGGGCCTTCGGTGGAGCTCCCTGTGGGGCCACGAAACGTGTGAGGGGTGTGCCGAATTGGGTGTGGGGGACGCATGCGGGCGGCAGCACTGGGGCCTTCGGTGGAGCTCCCTATGGAGCCACGAAGCGTGTGAGGGGTGTGCCGAAATGGGTGTGGCTGACGCATGCGGGCGCTTGCACGAGGGAGGGGGGGGCAGCGGGAGGAAGGAGAACGCGGGGCACCGTCTCTTCAAAACGAGGACCCAACACCACAGGATGGTTGGGAAAAACACATGAATAGCTGCTGCGGTTTCCGGAGATGGCCCAGAGCCACGATGTTAATTACTGCGCAAAGCCATCGACTCATTGTTCGGCGACTCTACAGGGCGCGACCAGCACAAGGCACGGTTTGCAATGGCACCCTAGGGGGCAACCCCGGGGGCACCCCGGGGGCGCCCGGGGACCTCGACGGCGCGGCCCTGCGCCCCGAGGAGGCCCGACGACGACAGCGTCGCGCCCCCCGGGCCCCAACGGCGCCGACCGCAAACCGCGCTCCGGCGTAACCATTCCCTTTGTAGTCGCCGACTTGAAAAAGCGGTTCTTACCATGACAATATTGAACAAGTCTCTCGCCACCATGCCCCTGCCATGTTCGGCGCGCGTGGAAAGCCGTCGACGCATCAAGCGCACCATCTCACGGCCTGTAAGGACACGGGATTCAATGCGTGCTCCAACTTCCATTCGGGACACATGACCTGCGCAGTTAGAAGGCTGCAACAACGTTCCCTCCCACTCCATGGCGGGGGCCAGAGCACCTTTAGTAGCGAGACAGTTTGCACTCCTGGGGGGGATGCCAATCACACTGTCCGCAACAAGCTCTCCTATGTGATCACGAGTATCTTCCATATGAACAATCGCGTCTTTAGAATCGAGTGTAGTCGCCAAGGCGTTTGGTCCATCACTGGTGCTTTAAAGCTTTTCGGCTGGTAGCCAGTTCGCCAGAGAATCGCCAATCTCGACGAACGTAGGGTTGATTGATACTGTTATGGGTCTCGAAGCTCCTGATGGATCCGTTAAGCAGTGATATGTACATACAGGAACAAAAGGAAGAAAGGAATTATAATACCAACAAAAATACAGAAATCATTCCCTTCACCCTTTTCTCCCGCAACCGGGCGGCGCGCGGTCCTGGTGTGATCCTTATGCGGATGCTGCGGGGCAGCGGCGTCGGCAGCGGGCGGCTGCACGGAACGAGCGGGGGAACAGCATTACCTACGGGGAAAAAATCCACACCTTCTCGCGCCATCCATCGGTCGCTCCCCCTCTTCCCAACTCTCAGTGCCCTCCATTCCCGCTCCCGCCTCGCGCCACTCTTGGCCTGCTCTTCATCGTCTCCTTACCAGGTATATGTTTTGAGATGATCTGTCCTAGACGTGAAAACTCCGAACACTGGGAGGTGTTCCCAATCATCATTATGTCCTTCCAAAGTGTGTCTGCGTGTTTGATATATATATATATATATATATATATATATATATACATACACATATATGTGTACATACATTCATATATATTGTCAGACATGTATGTATATATACAAATATATAATATATATACATATATACAAATGAATATGTATCCCTCTCTCTCTCTCGCTCTCTGTCTGTCGTTCTGTTTATCTGTCCATCTTTGTCTCTATAGATATATGTACAAATCAATCCCTCTCGCTCTCCTGTGTTGTTGTCTGTATGTTTATTTCCTTATGTTGCTCTCTCTCTCTCTGCCTCCCTCTACGCCTCTCTGTCTGTCTCTCCCTTTCCCCGATGGCAATGGGTATCGGCCCAAAGACGATGACCAACTTTACGGCCCCGTGTAGATGACCCAACACGCCGAGACGTAGGCGTCTGTGATCCTCGAGGCCGTGGCCGAACGGATAAGGCCGTGGTCGACGGGTTCGCGTGCCTCCTGGCGGGCCGCGCCGCCCTTGAAGGGCCCCACGCTGACGCGCGGGCAGGTGATTCACCGAGTCGTCGACGCTAAGTTCCTCGACGACGCTCGAGTCGACGAGGTGCAGGTGGGTACCCACGTAGGGCAGGACAGCATCGACCAAAGCCACACCAATGGCCTGGTCGACTGGTTTAACCACGAAACCGACACCACGGCAACGCAGGCCGTGCTCCGCCACAACCTCCCTGCCGACATCGTGGACTACGTCAGGCGGCGGGACAGATTCGCCGCAATCCTCCAATGCGCTGTGCGATCTACGATCTGCGACACCGTACACTTCTGCTGCCGCACCGACGAGCAGGTGACTCTCGAAGGTACTCGCCGCAATGCAACCCTTCTGGGCTGGAGACACCCCGCGCCAGTCCAATGTCACGTCATAAAACTTCGCGCAGGCCTGGGAGGATGCCCTCAACGATGATCCTGATGTCTTCGGCCACGGCGTTGACCTCAACGGCCCCGCCGATGACTGCGAGTACTTCGACGTCGTTGGCCTCGTCGATGACGTCGTCGTTGGCCTCGGCGGAGACATGGACGGCGACGGCGTTCCCCATGACTGAGACGTCGTGTTTGAGCCGCATGTTGAGCAGGGACCGACCGTCCTGGTACTCCAGTAGACAGTAGACCTATCACGATGTTGTCCGAGAGAACAATAATATTACAAGGGCAAAGACAATGCAGCTCAAGCAAAACGCCGACGTAACATATAACGAAACTGTCTCGGCCACAAATGTTTGAAGAACATGTCGTACAAACCGCAAACAGTTTTTGAGCATCAGTTGGTGGGCCTGTGGGAAGGTCAGGTCGCTTCGCCACGGCTTGAGCATGGCCACGAGCCCCACCCCACCCCCGAGGCTCAGCCCGCGCCCCTGGCCGCGGCGTTGGCCCCGCCAGTGCCGAGCGATGCACCCACGTCCCGCGCCCGCGCCAAGGCGGTGGAAGCGCCAGAAACGACCCCCCCGTCGGTGCACTCCCAGCCTGGCTCTGCCAACAACGCGAGCGCAACGAATCGCCCACTCGGCTCCTCCTGGCGCTGGGCCCGGCCACCCACGGTTACCGCCACGTCGCCCTCCGCGCGGCCGCCCCATGCCGCCCTGGCAGCCGACGCTGAAGCGCCGCCACTTGGCACGGCGCGCGACCGCATTGCCGCGGGACCTCGCGCAGCGAGAACAAGAGCTAGAAATCACGCTCATCGCACGCATCCGTGCCGCGTCTACTATGCGCCCCACTCCCTCGGCCCCCCCCCCCGGACGTCCCCAGAAGCGTTGCTGCTACACCGGCCATTGCACTGGCCCTGTTGTGACGGGCCCAGGCGAAAACGGTCGGGAGCTCCCAACGGGACCACGAAGGGTGTCAGCGGTGTGCCGACATGGCCATGCGAAGGGCAGAGGCAAGGAGGGGAGGTGGATTGGAGAGCAGGGCAAGGGGAGGGGAAGGAGGCAGGGGAAAGTGGTGAGGAGGTGAACATGGGGCAACGGATTCAAAACGAGGACACCAAACCACAAGATGCTTGGGGAAAACCAAGCCTGTATTGACAACGGATGGTGGCCATGTAAACCCAAACATGTGTACATACGCAATCATGTCACACACACGCACACACACCAACTCTCTGCTACAGTGAAAATCCCCTATCTTCTCGCCTTGGGTCGGTCGAGCTGCTGGGAACGGTTTCGAAACTGTTCACCTGGACCAAGCGAGTTTAAGAAGGGCTGCTTGTAATTCACGAAATACTATCCCCCCTTGTCCCCCTACTCCGTCCCCTGCTCTCCCCTCCTCCCTCCCGCTGTTCACTAGAGTCGTGTTGGTGCGGAGTGGCGCTCTTGCTAAGTCACCGATTTAGTGTGCCACAGACCGCCAGTGCAGTGTCCCTGCCCGAACTCCGAACCGCGGCAACGCGAAGCTTCTTGATAGGTCATGAGGGCGGTATTGCAAGCTATATTCGAGGTTAGGACTGGGGCAGATGCCAGGAGTGGCCCAGCCTTCTCACGAGGACGATCACACGCAGCACCCCCTGGGCTCGATTCGATTCGACTCCTGGTGCTGTGATTGACTTCTTTGTTGCGGGGAGCAGGTCTCAATCCTTGTCGCTCCCTCCCCGCTTGGGATGGGCAAGCCTCTTCCACCTCGCCCTCGGCGATGATCCAAAAGTCAGTGGCCACGGAGCCCGGCTCGAAGATGATGGCGTCCTGTGGCGCTGCTTCCGTCTCGGCCACATCGATGCCCAATCCGTCGTTTTTTCGTCACCGCTCCTGTTTCCCCCCCCCTCTCCGCTATCTCCTCCTCTCCCCACCATCTCCTTCCTCCTGTCCCCTGCTTGAACTTGAACGTGAACGCACCCAGAAAGGTCTTGCGACCACGTTCTCCCCTTTCGGCGGTGGCTTCCTCCAAGGCTATTCCCGACCTCGCTGGACGACTCACGTCGCACATTTGGAGTCGAGCCGCCCGGGGCAGCCAGGTTCTGAAGCTCCTCCCCGAGGGGAAAGAGAAGAGAAGAAGACAAACAAGTATAGCAATAAGACTAATAGTAATAGGAATCAATATGAGATGATGACCAAGGACCCTGACCATGAGTAGAAACGCTGTCTTAAGAGTAACCCCCACAGACCACAGAAGCAGGGGTCGGTGGTGGACAAAACTCGACGGAATAAGAAGAAGACGAAGGCGGGTGAGTGTCGGCAACTGGTGCGTCCGACGACAACCATAATTCTATTCTCGAGTCGCCAACCCACCAAACTCTCGACCCCTTCCCCAAGTGCGATCTGTTGAAAACCTCCGTGCCTGAAACCGGCTCCTGGACGCCGGAAGAAGATCAACAACTGACATACACATGAACTTCTGGAGATCCGCGCGTGTTTCCTCTTCGGTCCGAGCTGGACCCCCGCCCCTGGCAAGCTCCACGCGCCAGGGGCGGCGCTGGAGGCGCCGCCCGAGGGGGTCCAGCGCCGAAATCCGCACGGACCTTCGACCGTTTCTGTATGTAGCTGCCACTGTGCGATTTGCTCGAATCGCCAAGGTGGGGTGGAGGACAATTTCGTACGTGTGACCCTGGAGAGGGAACTTCGCGCGTCCTGAGCCTTAGTCGCGCCAGTATGTACGAGAAGCGCAAGAGCAGAACTCGCTGAAGAATCGACTTTTCGAAAACGAATCGGACCTGTTAGAAAACTGCACGACACCGAGGCGGTTCCTCGAGGTCGCTATCAGCATGATGGCCGAGCCGCAACGCACAGTGTTTGGCAGCATCCGATGGCAATATCCGAGGAGTCCCACAACCGCGACAACCCTGGCGAGCCGCCAGTGATTCTATTGTCGCGCGATTATCTGTGCGCAGTGGTCGGAGCTGACCCCCTCTCCGCACCACTTCCCTGGCGTTCGGAGCGCGCGAATGGCGGAGGGTGGCATGGAGGGGGGGGGCAGCATCGGCCCCTGAGGTCAAAGTTTGTATGTAGCTTCTTTGTTGCAATAGTAAGGAAGCCGACACGGCGCGGGCTCGGGACCTCGGACCTGTTTAAGTATGCGTTTTGGCCATAAAGGTTCGAGGCGGAGCCAGCCCTGGCGACGAGACGCCTGGAGGCAAAAAAGCAGGAACGCTCAGCACACTACACTCGATAGCCTTCATCCTCGATGCCATTCGGGCCAATGGCTGCTCAACAGGCCGAGCCCGGGAATGTGGGAGGTGAGACATGCGGCATGCGATGTGGCTGCAAGCACCTCCACTTTCCACTGGGGAGGCGCTTGGCCGCATCGAATCCGACGTATCGAGGACCGAAGGTGCGAAGGTTATTCTGCCGATAAGGCCCGACTGCACTTGAGGAGGGATCTCTCGCGCTTCTAATCCCGGCGGCTGCCCTCCGATTTCGGCGGCCTCCGTGAGAGGGTTGTCGGCGCGGGGGACCCGTGGACTGAACCAATCAATCCGTTGAAATGCCACGGAAGGAAAGTCTCGTCGGCGGGTGAGACTGCGGTGCCGGCCCGATCACTGCACATGGGCCAGGCAGCTGGAACACTGCCCCAGAAAAGGGAAGCAGCAAAGGCTACGCCCAACCGATAAAGAAGAGGCCTGGCCACGTGCAGGCAAGAGCCCGTGAAGGGAGGAAAGAGGAGGGTCAAATATGTGGAGCGTCTTTGGCATTCTTGGGCCGGCGCCCTTCGCCCCTGCGGCTGGGCTCCTTCGGCTGCCGTATCACGATGAAACTCTCGAGCAAGGACTCCACCTCGAGGCGGCGGTGGCAGATGGACTATACCTCCTCCTCCTCCTCCTCCTCCTCATCCTCCTGCTCCTCGTCCTGTTCCTTTCCTGCTCCTCCTCCTGCTCCTCCTCCTCCTCCTTGCTTTGCTCTTCCTCACACCTCCCTCTTCCGCCCCCCTCCGTCCCATGGTGCCGGCCCGGATCAGGCAGAGCAACACCACGGGCGGCCTCTTCGACCGCTGCCCACTTTGAACCCCCTGCTTGACACCACTCCGACCCCGTGCCATGTTCGCGCCTCCATGGCGAACGGCAACCCGCCCGCGTTGCTCGGGTACGGAACGGCGGACTCCGCGCAAAAGGGCGCATAGCCGCGCGGCGTAGCTTCTGCTGAAGTGCATTGCCGCATTCGACCAACATCGAAGTGACCAGCCCTCGTCGTTGGGGGCCGCGTTGGCCACGGCCTTTCGCGTTCCGTGGGGTGTCGAGGCCGCTCGTCGGGAAAGAAAAGAGTCATATGATGTTAGAGAGGCCGCTGAGCGCCCAAGGGCGAAGAACACTGAAGAAACATGACAGAATCTGGAGACGGCAAACGCCACGTAGTGAACTCGGTGGTGATGGGCGACGCGTCATGGCCCAGGAAGTTCAAAACATCCAGGACCAGGATAAGGACGCTTCGGAGAGGAAGCCTCCTTCCCTCCTTTTGTTCCCGCGCTTGTCGCATGTGTTATGCAACCTTCAGTGCCCCGGCCGCCTGGCCACGACGCCGGTTCAGCACACTCTCCAAAACAAGATGAATCACGTCGCCCCCACTGTGCACATCCGCCGACCCTGTCAGCGTGTGGAATGGGTTGTTCGTCGCGAAGGTTGTCCTCGTCCGTACTCATCGTCTTCTTTCCCGGGTCCGTCGCCGCTCCCCCCTCTTTCCCGTGGCCCTCGCCCTCAAGCGCGCACGCCAAAGCGAAACTAAGCAATCCAGCCAAAGATTGCTTTGCCGGCTCTCCGTCATGAGGGGAGCTTTCGCGGCCCGATTAACCGGCAAAGCGTGCAATTGTTCATCGTGATGATCTTCTTCTTGTGGTAGTTCCATACTCAGATCCCAGCAATGTATCGGTGACGTCGTTCTTGTGGCCATGGCGCTATGCGCCAACGATTTGTCAACGCCCCACATTTGCTTTACAAAGCGAACGGTCGCGCCGCGCCGGGCAGGCAGCACGCCCGCAACCTGGAACACAGCACTCTGGGACACTTAGCGCATAGCACAGCATTGCCAGGCGATTCGCCTCATCTGTTCTGGACGCACTTGAACTGCCACTGATTGCCTCGAGGAGCCACCTGCGGCATACCCGCACGTGCCCCTCGTTCTCTTCCTCTTCGACCCCAAATGCAGTCGTCGCGGCTCCAGCTGTTGTCACCTTGCCAGCTGCCTGGGCCCCAGCTTCAAGACGACCGCCAGTTCTGGGCGTCCGCTTGCCATGGGAGAGAAGAATCCGCATGGTGCTGGTCGTTGTCGGTGTGCGCGCGCTTTTGGAAGGCATTGTCCGCGCGGCGCCGCGAGGTGCCGGCTTCGTTGTGCCAAGGTGCATCCCGCTGAAAATCTCCTCGCAGCAGGCCTCCAGAGTCTGTTACTCCTAATCGCTTCCTCTCGCTGCTCCCCCCCCTCTCCTCCTCGTGTTTCTCTTCCTCCTCGTCCTCCTCCTCGTCCTCCTCCTCCTCCTCGTCGTCCTCCTTCTCCTCCTCGACCTCCTCCTCCTCCTCCTCCACCTCCTCCTCCTTCCTCCTCCTCCTGTTCCTCCTCCTCCGCATTCCCCCCCCTCGTTCTCGAGGCCGGGGGATTGTGGAGTCGTTGTGGTATCTTGACGAGTTGTTACGTTCTTGCACGCTGCTCCTCATCATTACCCTTATAGTTCGTGTCTCGTGTTCTCTCTCTCTCTCTCTCTCACTCTCCCCCTGATTCGTTCTTTCTTCCATACACACCTGTATGTGTATGCGCTTCTTTCCTTACTATATAACACTGTCATGCCAGCACTTTCGCAACAAATGCCCCCCCCCCCCCCCCCCCGAAGATGGTTCTCGAAACTCTAGCCCTGTTCCAAACGGCATGGGGCTGGAATTTCGAGGACCATGTTCGGAGGTGGATTTTCTCTCGGACCTCCCGATACTCTGAGGGTATCTTCGTAACACTGTGATGCCAGCATCTTCACAAACAATGCCCCCCGAGCATGGCTCTCGAAACTCTAGCCCTGTGCCAATAGGCGTGGGGTTGGAATTTCGAAGACCATGCTCGGGGGGGGGGGGATTTTTTTGGACCTTCCGATTGTCTGAAGGTATCTTCGCAACTATATAACACTGTTATGCCGACGTCTTCAAAAAAACTGTTCCCCGAGCGTGGTTCTCGAAACTCTAGCCCCGTGCCAAACGGCGCGGGGCTGGAATTTCGAGGACCATGCTCGGAAGGGGGGGGCATGTTTTGGGGACCTTCCGATTTTCTGAAGGCATCTTCGCAGCTCCCGGGCATGGGCCTCCGAGCATGGGCTCCGAGCAGTGGTCGAATCTCAATTAGCATAAGGGCCTGGTTTGCAACGCGCGGTGGACGCAGAGGGCCCCTTCGAGACACATCTGTGGAAGTGCGTTCACTGCAGCGCGCCGCTGCAGCACCGCACGGGGATGGCGTCTCGCTCCGACATCTCGCGCGTGCTGCGCGACCTCCACTGCGCCGCGGCGATCGCTGCGAGGCCCTGGAGGTGCACCAACAGAGCTCGCGTGCTCACGTGCGGCCCGAACTTCATGCGGGTCGGCGGCGACAAGGTCAATGCGGCGACGTTGGCGGACTTCGAGAGTTCAGGCGTGGTCTTCGTTAGCAACCAGAGAACGTTCACCATGCACTACTTGAGGTACCACGAAACACTCATGGTCCGTTCCTGCATCGACTGGGTCACCAAGGAAGTCTTCGCGAGTTAGGCGGAGGAAGGATACGGCAAAGAGTTCGTTGCGGACTTCGGGAAGCTCCACCTCGACGCGCTGATGTATCTGATCGCATCGCAGGAGGTGGAGCCGATCAAAGAGCACGGCGGCATCGTCATCGGCAGAGTGATCACCGACGATACCTTCTCCAAGCTGGACAGCTACAACCGCAGGAACGTGTTCCCCGCTCCGCGCCCGAAGAACATCACAGCTCTCGTCGGGGACGGGCGCGAGAAAATCCTCGCGAAATACGGCGAGGAGAAGAGGCAGAAGCGCGCCGTGCGCAGGAGGCCAGCAGCGATGAAGAGGCCAATGGAAAGGGTTCGCAAGACCGCCATCAAGAAGCACGTCCTCCGCGTGAGACGCTCCGCGAAGAAGAAATCAGCGGTTCTCAAGAGGCCGCCCGCCGCGCCAGTGCGCAAGAGGCCGTCTGCCTCTAACCGGGCAAAGAGCAGTCCGCCGCAGCGATCCGGAAGAAGGCGCAGTACAAGAACAGCGCGAAGGCAGTCCGCCACATGCACCACAACCACGGCTGGTTCATGGCCCTCACCCCCGAGGGGCGCATCGTTGCCGCAGTCGAACAGAAGAGCCCCGAGGGCAACGGCGTGGCGGCAGAAGCCCTGACTCGCGCGCTCAAGAGGCATCCCTACGTCAACGCGCTCGTGTACGACAGGTGCTGCTGCTTCTACGTCTCAGCCCAGAAATTGTCTGCCTGCAAGGGCATCAAGGACTGGTCCGTAGATTGGATGCGCGCGAAGGGCCACGCCAGCAGCTGCCCCTGCAACCCGTACCACATCATGCGGTTGGGCCGCCGCTTGAAGGGCATCAACACGCAGGCGGCGGAGCAATCCTTCTCGTGGTTTAGGGGGCACGCGCGGCCGCTGAACGAGGTGACCCCACTGCGCCACGAGCTCTGCGTGCTCTACTTCGCCAAGCTGCACAACAAGTATGTGGAGGATCAGAACGCGGATTGCCTGCCGCCGATGGAGGGCCTCAAGACCACGCAGCGCAAGGGCGGGCATTACGGCTGCACCTAGTGTAGCCAGGTCGAGTACTCGAGTTAATGGATGGAGCCATTGTGTGTGCATGTGAAGCTGTTCTGCGGTAGCACTCAGCCTATGCGCTGGGCTTGCGTTGATTAGTGTGCTGGTGCACCAGCTGCCCCAGCGCGAAGCTCCAATTTGCTTGAGTGAATTCGCGCGCGGGTGTAGAGCTGACCAGAACGATGGTGCACCATATGTGCCAACGGGCCGCTCTGTGATAGCTCATGGGGGTTCGACACGACTGGGGGTTATGGATTATGCCATGACGCGCTGCGCGTGTAGCTGTGGCGTCATGGTGCTAGGGTTCGTGTGCAGTCTTAGGGCCGAGTACTTCACGAGCGCGCCAGCGCGACACTTGCATATTGCATTGACAATCATCACTGAGGGGGCGACTTTCGAACTAGGCCAGTCTGGTGTTGGAGCGCGTGCGCGCTTTGACGGGAGGTGAGTTCTTCTTTGCCACGTTGTGAATAAAAAGCTCATGATCATGGTCCATCGTCTCTCTCTCTCTCTTTCTCTCCGTCTCTCTTTTTTGTGTTCTCTCTCTCTCTCTCTCTCCCTATCGCTCCCCCTCGCTCTCTCCTCGCGCCCGCCTCCATCGACGTCCAGGCGGCCGCCACTCGGCCGACATGCGCGGGCAAAGAGCCCTGAGTCTCGTGGACAGCGACTGCGAGCCCCCGAAGGGAGAAGGAGGAGGAGGAGGTGGAGGAGGAGGAGGAAGAGGAGAAGGAGGGAGAGGAGGGGCGTGTCCTTTTGTTGTTCTCCTCCCCCCAACAAGAATCTGGAAGACAGCACGGTTTTTTTTGGGGGCAACACAACAAAAACAACGCCTGGAGAAGCGTGGGGGGAAGATAATGGTGATGATGATGATGATGATGATGATGATGATGAGGAGGAGGAGGAGGAGGAGGAGGGAACGAGGTCCATGGGGAGGAGTGAGGAGAAGGAGGGGGAGGACGACGACATTGCACAGACGCAGTCGCGAACTCAGCGCGAAAGCCTCGCGCGCGCGCTTTTGAAC